GGTAGGTCCCTGCGGGCTCCCGCGGAGCGCGGTGACAATTCGCTTTGCTGTAATTATCGACGAAATTAATACTACAACCATGCGGGGATTTTTTTTTAAAGTTAATTATAATTTGAATTACATTTGGATATTGGATAGATTTTAGGCCGAATTCTATGTAACTTATTTTGTACTTAGAGTTTTTTTGTGCTACAAACGATTTAAGAAAAATATATATTCTATATTTCAAAGCTAAACAAAATAATTCAAACAAACAAACCAAACCCCAAACGGAAAAGCCCCCGCGGGTGATTGCTTTCAGCGTGTCCATTTCCGAGCGAGACTGTGTCCAGTAATTGGCACAACTTTACCTCGTATAACCACACAATTTTTTTAGCAAAGCCTTCAGGTGCACCGAAGCGTTGAAGTGCACCGGGAGCAAAAAAAAATTAGTTATTTTTCTGGCCATCATATTCAGTTTTCAACAAACGATTTTTCCATGAGGCTGCTGCTTTTGCTGTGGCGCAGCTCTGGCCTGGGACATCTCTGGGGGGTGAAGCGCGGGTGGCATCGTCAGCTCCCTCCCCGGCTGCCCGGGCTCCCCGTCCCCGCGGGCAGGGGTGGGCAGGGAAGGGGCTGGTGCGGCGTTGGGGCTGAGCCGGTGCCCGTGCGCAGGTCTGGTTCCAGAACAGAAGGACCAAGTGGCGGAAGCGGCATGCAGCGGAGATGGCCTCGGCGAAGAAGAAGCACGACTCGGAGACGGAGAAGCTGAAGGAGAGCTCGGACAATGAGGACGATGACGAATACAACAAACCCCTGGACCCCAACTCAGACGACGAAAAAATCACGAGGCTATTGAAGAAGCACAAATCCACGAACCTGTCCCTCGTCAGCCCCTGCAGCACCAGCTCGGACACCTTGTGAGGGCACGAGCACTGCCACGAGACGTGGATGTTGAACCTGGATGTGTAAAGTGGTGTGTTGTACAGCCTGAGATGTATGTGAAATGTATATATTTTTTACAGAATAAGTTATGAAATTATTTTCCTTCTCATCGATGTAAATTTCAGAGGAATTTTTTCCAACTTTTTGGGTTTTCTTTTGTGTCCCTTTAAGGTTTGCCCCTCTTTCTTTTAGTCTTCTTGCTGATTTCCTGCTCCTAACAATCAGATTTTGTTACATTTTGTATGGGTCACCAAATTCAAGCTCAGCCACTTTGTATATAGTAAAAATTCAGATTTTTGTGATGTATATTTCTAGTGTAAAAACGGCTGTTTTCTTTCACTCCCTCTACTCAGTGTTTTGGCGGTTTGATTTCTCCTGCCTCTGGATTTTATCCCTAATAATATCAAAAGAGAAAACAACCCAAAAAAGCACGAGAGAAAAATGGACACTTGATTTTACAATGGGATCAAATTATGTCTCTACACGGGTTGGAAAGACTTTGTATAAATCAATAAATTATTTAACGAGCTTCTCCTGTGGTGAGTTTCTTCCTGCATTCCCTGTTTTGGGTCCCCGTCCCGCTGAGCTCCCCGGGCACCACTGAGGGCATTGGGCCAGGGGGTGTGGGTTCA